ACCCCCCTTCCTTCTAAACCTAACCGACCCCTTATTCTTCTCTTCTTCTTCTCTCTTCCTCTCTCTACCAAATAACAAACAAAAAAAAAATCTTCAGTCTCTCTCACCCAACCTCCATTCTCATCTTCTCCCAACCTCCATCTCCACCTTCCCCCTCTTCCATCAAGTAAGTTTCTCCTCCCCCCTCTATTTCTTCTTCTTAATTAGTGTAATTTAGTTTTGTGTTAGTTTTAGTAAACCCTAGTTAGGATTAGTGTTCAAGTTTTAATTTTTGCTTTCTTTTATGTTTTCTATTGTTGTATTTGATGTTTGTGGGGTTGTTTAGTGCTAATTTGGTTGGGTCTCCATGATACTTTAATTGTGGGGTTTGTTTTTATGACTTGGAGGCCTAGAAAATATTTTTGTGGTGTAGTTTGGTGATGGGCCATTTTTGGCCGAAAATTTGGGATTTTTTGTACAATTTTGGGGCATTTTTATGCCTAACCTAGGTTGTGCCGGTGTTGTATTGGGTGTATGGTGGTGTTGTAATTGGTGTATGATGGTGTTGTATTTAACGTGAATCATTTGAGGAAATAAGTGTGGGGTGATGTATGCCGGAAATTGCAAGCAAATTGTGGAGCCTTTGTGGAGGTTGTTGTCCTTGAACACCTTAGTAGTGGGGAATGGGCACTTTGTATGAATGAAATAAATGGGGGCAAGTGTATGGTGCCATTGGGTGGTGAAGTCTGAGTACCCACCATACTGGCACAGGAAGGATATATTTGATGGTTCTTCTGAATTTTTGCAGGTACTATGGCTCCAAAAAGGCAAAGGAGATCGGCAGGCGCATCCCAATGGCCCACCTATGATGAATCCAGGTTCCAATCAGAACTAGCGGAGGACGACTTTCATGCCAAGGCTACGAAGAACTTCATCCATGAGATCTCGCTTGACCGGGCAGCCCTACGCGTAGAAAAGGCAGAAATGTATGAAGAGATTCGGAGGAGGGAAATGGAATTCTTATTTGATGACCCTGCCCCGGTCAACAAGATGCTTGTTAGGGAGTTTTATGCCAACTGCCCATTGAACTTAAGTAGGGGGGTGATTGTGCGAGGCAAGGTGGTCAGCGCCACAATTCCCATGATTCGCCAGGTGTTGCGGCTGCCTCTGTTCGCTAGTGACATTGACTACTACCACGACAGGCCAGGGGTCACATGGGAGGTCATGACTGATATACTCTGTGCAGAGGGGCGACCAACATGGATACGTGACCAGATCACCCTGAACTCCAACTCATTCACGCACTTGGCTAAGTGTTGGTTAACTGTCATTTGCAGCCGGTTCCTGCCCTCAAGCAACACAACTGACGTGAACTTCCAACGTGCACTGTTGACATGGTGCTTCGTGATGAAGAAGGATTTTGATGCGGCAAGGGTAATTAGTGATGAAATGGTCCTACGGGGGCCGCTGCTGTCAAAGGGATTCTACTTCCCTTCTTTGGTGACTACACTGTGCCTGCTGAAAAATACCCCCACCAATCCTGCCGATGGAGACTTGCCCCCTTGAGCAGCATTCAGAGCCTCAGGCATCAGAGTGGGCCTAGGTACACGTACCACAATTGAGATAGATGATGAGGATGATGATCCGGTTCCTCTTGCATCGTCCAGGAGTTCTGTTGACAGTGCCGGGCCCTCTCGGTGCCCCCATTCTAGAGCAGGCCTATCCCGCTCACAGTCCTCCCAGCCTATGCTGCGTCCCTTGGAGGAAGAGGTCGCGGATCTCTGCACCTTGGTGGATGGCCTACACACGCGGATGGATGCCATGTCGCAGAGGCAGTATAGATCTGAGAGCCGGTTTATGGCCTAGTTACGTGCATTGGGGAGAGCTTTCCATGTAGACCCCAGCACTGTCTCCGACTCTGATTGAGTCTCAGGGAAGTCTTCTGACCCTTCTGCTCTTTACTTTCTTGATATGACATGGGGACATGCCATGATTTTAAGTGTGGGGTAGGAGACTTGCTCTAACTGTGTGTTGTAATGTATATAGATGTTGTTGTGCTGTAACACTAGATTGATGTGTTGTATATATTTGAGAGTGTTTATATTAGGAGTAGCTGACTTGGCCCAACGACGGACACTTGTCGACGGGTCTCTTGAGGGTCAAAGTCGGAATTAATGTAAACTGAAAACAAGTTAGAGGACTCTTCCTGAGGACAGACCACTTGGACAGTAATCTTGAGGGAAGTAGTCCATGTAGAATTTATTTTTTATTTTTTTTTTAATTTTTTTTATTTTTTCTCTTCTAGGTAGTGTAATACTTCCCCCTTGGTTTTTCTTTTGACCACGGTTCTTTTCCAAGGGCTTTTCTTGAACCGGGTTAGGTAGATTTTCCTTTTGTAGTTTTAGGACTAAAATGGGTGAAGGTTAGAATACAACCTCTGATATGCACACTTGCAAATAACTAAAAGGAACTTGAGAGTGTGACGTCTAGTCTCGTTTGTGGACTCGTAAATCCATGCCTTAATGTTGCACATCTTGTCTTGCTTGAACACTCGTATGATTGTGTTGATGAACTGATTCGGAATGAGTTACATGCTAAGTGTGTGTGAGTTGTTACTTGCATCCTATGCTTGCATATGATACCTAGAACTTGCCCTGTGTGTTTGCAAAGCGAAATAGAAGTCGTTTGGTTTTAGAGATGATTGAGGCATTTCTTTGTGCAACCCTTTATACTTGAGAATCCACCTGTGCATATTACCATAGTTAACCCCTTTGAGCCTGAAGCCTGTTCTTTGATAACCCTATAATGATCTAAATCGCTGCGTTTGAATAAGCTTAATTGTTTGAACCTTTACCTCCTAGAAGCACTTGAATCACTAAAGAATATACAAAACTCAAAGTGTGGGGTGGGAGAGAGTTAGTGAAAAAAGGGAATCAAGAATGAAGGTTTTGATTGGTGAACTGGCAGTGTACAATAAATCTCTGGAAAAAAAAAAAGAGAAGAAGCCAGTTGTACCTAAAGAAAAGTGGGGGTCACAAGTGAAACAAAATGTGGAATAATGATTGGGTTGAACATAAAGGTGAAATAAAAGGAAGTGCGTATTAAAAGTGCTTAGGGAGGTTAGTCACTATATCCAAATATATCCTACCCGTCCCTTAGCCTACATTATAACCTATAAAGACCTCTTGATCTTTGACTGAATGGCTCGATTAGTAGAGTATTACACTAGGGGCAAGCTTATGGTGTGTCTGTGTGGCATGTGAATGCTCTTTGCTGAGAGTGAGTGAATTCTTTCTATATATGGTTCCTTGTTGTTGAATTTTATGTGTGTGGAACTTCTCTCAGATTTTGTTTATGTGAGGGCATGTGACTCAGGAAGAAAAAGTGAGTCTTCACTTCTGTTAGAGTAATTAGAGTGAGCACAAGTGTGTCTTGGCATGAGAGTCTGCATTTGAGATATGATTGTGCACTGCTTAGGTCGATCATTGATAATAGCAGGTGTGACATAAATTGGGGCAATGCATTGAACAGTTAGGCCTAGAAGTGTGGTTTAGTTTGCTCGAGGACGAGCAAAGATTTAAGTGTGGGGTGTTGATAATAGGTGAATTTGACTATAATCACACCTTAAATAATCACCTTCTTGTGTAGTTTTAATGCTAAAAGTGATAACAAAATGCTCTTATTAGTGCTTTTCATGATTTGCAGGTGATATATGTATAAGGAAGGCTAAGGAGCAGTTTTGGAGTCAAAATTGGAGAAAAGAGGCCAAATGTGTAAATTCCCAATGAAGCTACGCCCTGCCAGCCCTTAGGATTCAGAAAAATGGTTTGGCCGCGGTTCTACCGCGACCGCGGCAGAACCGCGGTGGAAGGCAGCTTCAGAACTTTAGAGATTCAGAGAGGGTGATTGGCCGCGGTTCTACCGCGANAGTCAAAGTGTGGGGTAGTAGGGAGTTAGCGAAAAAAAAAGGGGGAATCAAGAATGAATTGTCTGATTGGTGCACAGGCATTAAAAAAAAAGAAAAGGAGAAGCCAGTTGCACCTAAAGAAAAGTGGGGGTCACATGTGAAACAAAGATGTGGAAGAACGATTGGGTTGAGCATGAAAATTGAAATAAAAGGAAGTATGTATTAAAAGTGCTTAGGGAGGTTAGTCACTATATCCAAATATATCCTACCCGTCCCTTAGCCTACATTACAACCAAATGAAGACCTTTTGATCTTTAACTGAACAGCTCGATTAGTAGAGTAGTACACTAGGGGCAAGCTTATGGTGTGTCTGTGTAGCACATGAATGCTCTTTGCTGAGAGTGAGTGAATTCTTTCTATCCTTGGTTCCTTATTGTCTAAATTTTATGTGTGGGGAACTTCTCTTAGACTTGTGATGTGAGGGCATGTGACTTAGGAAGAAAAAATAAATCTTCACTTCTATTAGAGTAATTAGAGTGAGCACGAGTGTGTCACGGCATGAGAGTCTGCATCTGAGGTATGATTGTTGCATTGCTTAGGTTGGTCCTTCGTAATGGCGAGTGTGGCATAAATTGGGGTAATGTATCAAACGG